AAACAAACAAAAAGCAAAATCAGACCTATAAACACAGAGAACAAACTGATGCTTGCCAGAGGGCAGAAGGGTGGGAGGATGAGCAAAATGCGTAAAGGAGAGTGGGAGATACAGGCTTCTAGTTATGAAATGAGTAAGTCACAAGAATAAAAGGCACAGCATAGGGAAGATACTCAATAATACTGTAATAATGTAAGGTGACATACGGGCAACAACACTGTGGTGAACACAGTATAAAGTACAGAGAAGTGGACTCTTGTGCACCTGAAACTAATGTAACATTGTGTGTCAACTCTACTCAAATTTAAAGAAAAAAATTAAAGATCTATGAAGTGGAAAGGTTAAAATAATCTCTTCCCTCGTGGGGTACACATCTCTTCTCTATGGAAAAAACGTGATTAAAATGTGACAATATGTGGAGAGGACCCATACACATAAGCTAAGAAAGATCATATGTATTTCATAAGTATTTTAAAATTTTATTTGTTGATTATAAACATATTTATGTGAATTATGGGGAATGTGAAAGAATACCGAGAAAAGATAATAGGCACTGATCCTCAAATAAATAATAACTGTTAAACTTTGGGTATATTTCTCGCTAGTGTTTTTGCTATGGAGTTTTTCTAATTGTGATCATTTAATATATATGCTTTTGTATGCTGTTATTTTTATATACAAAAAAAGCTTATGCATTTTTCATGTCCTTTAAATACTTAAAAGTATGAATATCTCCTAATCTTAAATGTCTCTAGACTTTTTTTTTTGAAGATTTTATTTGTTTATTTATTTGACAGAGAGAGACACAGCGAGAGAGAGAACACAAGCAGGGGGAGTGGGAGAGGGAAAAGCAGGCTTCCTGCCAAGCAGGGAGCCCGACGCGGAGCTCCATCCCAGGACCCCGGGATCATGATCTGAGCCGAAGGCAGATGCTTAGCAACTGAGCCACCCAGGCACCCCTGTCTCCAGACTTTTAAAGCTTTTTGTTATCATCTTCCTGTAAATAGTCTCATTATCAGAATAATGTGTAATGTAAAGTTCCCTGGCTTCAATTTATTCCAACTTTACTTAACTGTATGTATGTACAATGTATGTGTGCAGAGCTAGTTCATTTCTTCTCCTGACATATACTAGTAAACTTCATATACTAGCAGACAACCTTTGACTTCCTTACATAGCCCAAGTGCCTGGCAGCTCTGTCCTCCCCACCACAATTTGGATTAAATTATACCAATACCAACATCCTTATGTGTTTTCATAAACTTTGGTCAATAATAATTTAGCATCACTATGATTGACTGCTCAGAATCTTCCAATTTTCTACATCCTTATTAAAGGGTGGAGATTAAAACTAGACACAGAACTCTAATAAAGACTCAAACAATTATGGGCTAACAGAGTGAGATGGCTTTGTTCATATATCCCTTCATCTGCTGGATGACATATCCCTTTTCTGCATGACTTTAAAACTATGATACCATCATTCAGATTTAGACTTAAAATATGAAATATTGCCTATATACTTTTTTGTAACAGCTTTATTGAGATGTAATTCACAAATTTAATTTGTATAATTCAATCGTTTTTAGGATATTCACAAAGTTGTGCAACCATCATCACAATCAATTTTGTGATATTTTCATCACCCCAACAGTATTCTATTTTTTACTTACTCATCAGCCACAGGCAATGACTAACCCACTTTCTGTTCTATGAAGCTGCCTCTTCTGGACATATTATATAAATGGAATCATACATGATCTTTTGTGACTGGCTTCTTTTCACATAGCATTATGTTTTCAAGGTTCATTCATACTGTAGCCTGTAGCAATACTTTATTCCTTTTTACTACTGAATAATATTCCATTAGATAGGTATATCACTTTTGTTTACCTATTTATTAGTTGATGGGCATTTGATAGACATTTAGGCTGTTCCTACTTTTGGCTATTATGAATAATGTTGTTTTGACCTTTCATGTACAAGTTTTTATTTCACTTGGGTAAATACCTAAAGAGTGGAGTTGACAGATCATAGAGTAGTTCTATATTTAATATTTGAGGAATTAATAAACTGTTTTTCAAAGTGGCTACACCAGTTTACATTCCTACCAGCACTGTATGAGGGCTCCAATTTGCTCTTATCCTCTCCAGTTCTCCTCATTATCTTTTTTATTGTAGCCATCCTAGTGTATGTCAAATGCTATTTCATTGTGGTTTGATTTGTATTTGCCTAATGGCTAATGGTGTTGGGTGTATTTTCATGGGCTTGTTGCCCATTTTCATATGCTTGTTGGCCATATCTTCTTTGGAAAATGTCAATTCAGATCCTGTGTCCATTTTTAATTGTGTTATTTTCTTTTTATTATTGAATAGTAAGAGTTCTTTATGTATTCAAGATGAAAGTCTCTTACTATATAAGATTTGCAAATGTTTTCCTCCTATCCTATGGATTGTCTTTTCACTTTCTTGATGTTGTCTTTTGAAGCACATGTATTTTTAATCTTGTTGAAGTTGAATTTACCCATTTTTTCCCTTTGCCACTGTGATTTTAGTGTCATATCTAAGAAACCATTTCCTAAGCCAAGATTATGAAAATTTACTCCTACGTTTTCCTATAAGTGTTTTAAAATTTTAGCTTTTACATTTAAGTCTATAATCCATTTTGAATCCATTCTTATGTACTATATGAGGTAGGAGTCCACCTTCATTCTTTTGCATGTGGATATCTAACTGTCCTAGCACCGTTCACTGAAAAGACAATTCTTTGTCCATGGAGTTGTCTTGAAATCCTTGC